AAACACAGATGCCGAAGAAATATAAGAAAATTCACTTTTGCAGAGTGGTAGACGATTGGAACAAGTTAGGGGAGAAGGTGGTGGAGGCCAAGACCATCAGTAGTTTCAAAGCGTTATATGACAGAGTGCTGGGAAGACGGGACACCACGAGCGTAGCTCTCATCCTGTAACTACACTTAGGTAATTACACTTGGGTAATTACAGGTCATATATAAGTATCTGCATATTTTGTTCACCATAACGAACTACTAAGTTGGTCTTGTGAGTCAAAAAGCAACGAGGAGTGACCGCCACACACCAGCGAGCCACTTCCTCAACACCACCTCACTCGCCCTCATTCTCCTCTCACAATACTGTTTTTGCATTTATTCACTATACACAGACGTTATATATACGTATTTACATGTTTTGTTCACCATAACTGTACATCTAAGCTTGTATGGTGAGTAAATGCACAAAGACGAAGCTACTCACACAGTCAGCTGATCAGCGGCTGCCCTCAAGGCCAGACGCACTAATATTTCTCCTCCAACAATATTGTTTGTGGTGTTATTACGCTATATACACACATTATATATAAGTATCTACCTGTTTTATTCACCATACCTGTACAAATAAGCTGGTATGGTGCCCAAAGACCATAGTGGCCATCAGTAAACAACATGACAAGTTGTGCAGACGACGCTCCTCCCTCACCAAAATGGCGGCTCCCAACCTACTCCTCTCGCTGTTATCACACTCTATACACACGTTATATATAAGTATCTACATTTGTGTTTACCATAGAGACCCACTAAGCTGGAATGGTGAGTGCAGTCAATAAATGGTGGCCACACACAGTCAGAAGACGACGCCACAACCCTCCCTTCACAGCCTTACTCCTCCCTCTATGGAGCACAGCGCTAAATATCACCACAATCCTGCTATTATCAGAATCCTGGTCAGTTTTATCACAGTCAGGGGGCTTCAGTAATACTATCACTGCTAAATAATAGCAGCATCATATATATTATGGCATTTGTAGGCGATGCTGTGGTCACAAGCTGAACAGTGGTGCTGTGAGCTTGTGCTGTGTGCGCCAGCCTTGGTGGCTTGCTCAATACTGACGCTCTAACACCCAAGAATGTTGGCCTGGATTTTTTTTCTAGGTGGCATCTGGCAACTATCGGTCGTGGCTGTGCTATAGCTGCCCCTATCCCAGGCGGGGCGTTTAAATTATAGCGCTAGACACGAAATCATATAAACTGTATATGATGTGCGCGGTTTCGGTTTTGTCACTGATATTATAAATGATTTGCGCGGTTTAAGGGTTAAGAGAAATATGGAGTCATCCAGAGGTACGTGCAATCTTAAAGCAAGGACAGTGCCACTGGAAATTTATACCTCCACGAGCACTGTGGCAAGGAGGATTTTACGAGTGCATGGTAGGTACTGTGATGAAATGCTTAAGAAAAGCTTTACATAGACAGAAGATTAGCCTTACTGAGTTGCAAACCCTTGTCACAGATATAAAAGCATGAGTCAACAACAGACCATTAACCTATCTTTCAGATGATTTCTCCCAGAGAGAACACCTGAGCCCTCTGATATCTCTAGAGGATGAGGATACGGAAGACCCCTCGTGTGTTGGAAGAAGTGACTCAGTGGAAAGTTACAAACATCTTTCGAGTGTGATAGGCAAGTGGAATGAAGTGTGGACTCGTGAATATCTAACTGCTATGAGAGAGTATCATTAAAAAAAAAAATGGGTAATTACCGAATTCTTGAACAAAATATACTGAAATTATACAATTAACATTTTCGTGAAGGAACTACACAGAATGTACTGTAAATAATTTAGTTTAAACTCTGTTTTATTTATCAAAAATAATTTAAGTCTTGTTGACAAGCGCACAATTAATACAACACTTTACGTTAACTGAATTTCTCAACTATTTCTTTTGTAATTCTTAAAGCACTAGTAATTTAATAATGGCGCGATGTTTAATCCTTCAATTGCGCATCGCATCATATGATGCTTTGACCGACTTGCAGTAAATTGCGCATCGCATCATGTGATGCTCTGGAGTACTACGCAAGATTTAAACGGCCCGCGGATACACGGGGTTCACCACACCTTCATCAGGGCTCTTGTAAACAGATGCCATTTTTTTTAAAAATCGTGGCCCAAACTCCCGAGTGTTAGGGGCCTCAGTATTGAGTCAGCTACCAAGCCTGATGCACGCAGCATGAACTCACAGCACTGCTGTTCAGCTTGTGACCACAGCATCGCCTAAAAATGCCATAATATACTTGTTCATGCTATTATGTAGCGATGATATTATTACAGAAGACCCCTGACTGTGATAAAACTGACCAGGGTTCTGATAATAGCAGGATTGTGGTGATATTTGGCGCTGTACGCCATGGAGGGAGGAGTAATGCTGTGGGAGGGAGGATGGTGGCGTTGTCTTTTGAGTGTGTGTGGCCACCTTTTATTGACTGCACTCACCATACCAGCTTAGTGGTTCGCTATGGTGAACACAAATGTAGATACTTATATATAACGTGTATAGTGTGAGATAACAGCGAGAGTAGGAGGTTGGGAGCCGCCATTTTGGTGAGGGAGGAGCATCGTCTGCAGGACTTACCATGTTGTTTACTGATGACCACGATGGTCTTTGGGCACCATATCAGTTTACTTGTACAAGTATGGTGAATAAAACAGGTAGATATTTATATATAATGTGTGTATATAGCGTAATAACACCACAAACAGTATTGTTGTAGGAGAAATATTAGTGCGTCTGGCCTTGAGGGCGGCCGCCACCAGCTGACTGTGTGAGTAGATACGTCTTTGTGCCTTTACTCACCATACAAGCTTAGATGTACAGTTATGGTGAACAAAACATGTAAATACTTATATATAACGTCTGTATATAAAAGCAAAAACAGTATGGTGGGTGGAGAATAGTGGCAAGTCTGGTGAGGTGAGGTGAGGGAGTGGCAGCCAGTGGCAGCCAGTCACTGCCTGCCACTGCCACTGCCACTCAGCATACCAACTTAGTGGTCCGTTATGGTGAACAAAACATGCAGATACTTATATATAACCTGTGTATATAGTGTAATAACCGACAAAGTATTTGTTCACTGTTTGATGAACATAATTGAATCAACAATATGCACACCATATTTTTGAGTACAGCAATGATTCACTCATTTTATTATATAAATATATCACACTACACACTACTGAATAATATTACAGCAAAAAAACTACGAAAAATCAATCAGAGACATTGAAATAATTAGGTAATTATCTCTTTGTGGAAACTCTCGCCTGACGGCTGGCAATCAACAGACCGCCTGGGACGCACGCTCAGTCAGCGCCTGATTTTTGCCAGAATTCCCCGCCCTATAGTGGGCAATATATGCCACTTAAGATTTTTTTATTAATTTTCCCGTGATCAGTGAACACAAATTAACAGGTTAGGAAGAAATTTTTTTTTTTTTTTTTTTGTATGCGCCTGTGGGTGTCAAATGGTATATAGCTATGCGCCATTTAAGGGTTAAGACTTCAACAATTATTTAATTCATACGCCTGACGCTAACAATGGCGCTCAGAAATAGTTATAAGTATTTATTAGTTAAACAAAATTGATGTTAAATTACTTATTTACGTTACTTAATGAACTCGATGTTTATATAGTATACACTTGTTTACCGAACACTTTATAGATAGGAGAAATTAACACCGATAGCCGCGACGCTCACAGCTACAGAGTCGCGCTGATTCTTAACCCTTTCGCCCGGGCATGACGCAATGCTGTGTCATCCGTTTACTGTTGGTAATCATGGGCATAACGCAATGCTGCGTCGTCCACAAAAATAATCGCCAAAAATCAGGTTTTTATCCGATTTTTGGGGGACTGTTTGGTAACTGTCAATAAGCCGAATGCAATCTGTGACTACAATACAAACATGAAAGGTGTTGATCACTTTGACCAAATGATCAAATATTATCACTTCATAAGGAAAACTCACAAATGGACGAAGAAAATGACCTTCTATTTTGTGCAAATGGCTATCTACAATGCTTATGTGATGTACAACTACTACACAAAAAATACTAAACTATAATACTAAATATACTAAAATACTAAATACTAAACATTTGTGGGCAGGAATTGGGAGTGTAGCTGGAAGGCGTCTGGGCGCTCACTCACCGTTAACGCGTGGCCCGTCTTCAACTCGTCGGTGGGTGGAGCGTGACCAGGTTTTTTATTTTATATGCTAATATTCCTCTAGAGAATTCTATTGCGAATCCATTGATACCAAAATGAAAGACTTAGGACGAAAATTGAGGTGACCAGAGTGAAAAGAGTGAACGCATTTTATCGCTTTTGCGCGCTCCTGGGTAACTCGTTCGCACTTTCTCTGTTTGCTGCGGGTATTTAGCTGGGCTTTTGGAGTTTATATGCATTTAGTGCTGTAGAGAATTCTATTGCCAACACAATGATACCAAATTTAATCTCGTAGGACGAGAATTGAGGTGACAAAGTTGAAGAGAGTATACACTTTTCAGAATTAACGCACACTCCCGTGAAACGCTGGGACCCAAATCGCACAGTTGAGGGGTGGCGCGCTGGGTACGCCAAAGTGTTTAATTAAAAATTAGTAATTATTCTCCCAAAATTATAAATTAAATACTGGAGCGAAGTTGACTTGTTACTTTAACCGAATATAACACTCGCTAGGCACTTGGACACTTTATTGAGCGCAAACAATTACAGACCGCTACCTCGCCAGGCGCTGAGTAAAACCGCTAGAAAAAATTTAGAGTCCCAATGCTAATTCGCTTATATGACGAAAAATCGACTTTTGGTCTCTCAACGCTCTAACTTGAATTACTTTAATTGCACACGTGAATTAACATTGACGACCCGTTGAACATAGTGTTAGACACAAAACTGGAATTTTATTCCAAAAACTGAGATTTCCCAATCGATTTAGACGCATTTTCACCACAAAAATTTTCCACGATTTTCACTAAATCTTTCATTGATTTCACTTTTAAATACACTGCACTTCACCTGAAAACAGTAAAACCACTCACCTTAGTAATGCTCTCAGAGAATTAATACTGCGGAACTCGGACACAAAAACTCCAGACTTCCTTATAATATTATGTAAAAAAATAGTTAGAAAATAGCAACACTCATATACGAGAATTACTTAACCACTTAACTGCGCCAACCGAGTATTCACAGTCGGCGGGAAACTGCACCAACCAAGAAAACTCTTTTTGACTTTTTTGGTACCAATTCCAAATGTGTACTAGGTTGGTTGTGTACGAAATGGACTCTTAGGACCTCCAGTGAGAGGCAGCCATCTTGGAAAAAATTCCCAGAATGCCCTAGGGCTGCTGGCTGGGTTAGTACTGAATGAGCAACCATGGATGGCGCACACGCCTCTGGCTCCTAAATACCTGTCTGACACGGTGTTGAAAAATAACGCTCTGTCGGTGAAATTCAAACCTTATTGTTTGAAGAACATAAGGGTCATATTATTGGTGAAGCTAGGCGCAATAAGGACCTAACACAAAGATCGGATGCAAGTGATACTGCCCCTATGAGGACGATACAGCGAGCGTATCCAGTTGTAGCTCTGAGCCACCCTTGCAATCTTATGCTATCTCCAATTTATTTAGATGATACATAGATGAATCGTTTTCTGCATTCAGTGATGCATCTGATACAAGTAGCATGGATGAACAGTGTTGGCAGCTTCCATGCTGGTGTTTTCCATAGATATTTTCAAGAATACCTGAATCTCTTTCTAACTGACGGACACTCTTTGAAGCAAGCTGAATCTCTTCCTGTGTGGGATCATACAAAGCGATCTTTTCAAGACAACCTTACAAATTAATCTTTTCCTATAATCTTTTCAATACTACCTTATGCTTTACAAGCTTGGTAACATACAACCTACAAGAACTAAAGCCAAGCGTGTACGTGAGTGCGTTATTTGCAAGCACACAGAATGAAGAAACAGGAGGTGGAAATTTATCTGTACCTGGTGCACTGAGAATGAAGTCGCGCTGTGTACCATGGACTATTTCAATGATTATTACTCACTTCCGAAGTAATGAGTGTGTAATACAGTGTGTTACTGTGTAAATAGTGTGTGAAACTGTACATATTGTAATTTTAGTGAATTTTTAACAGGTAATATTACAACAATAAACATTTATTGTGGACACATTACTGACACATGTATCACAGTTCCCAGGAACATTATGAATGTTCTACTGTATACATATTGTAAAGGACACAAAAATGCATCATATACGATAAAAAAAAAATAAAACCTCATTGGAAATACATAAAACAAATAATTGAAAATATATTTGTGGCAACACCCGGTGCTTGAATGGCCCGCGCAAATGTGTCTGGGCAATTCACGCACGGGCGACCAGGCCCTGATGACGTCACAGCGCACCTTGTCCACATCCCCACCACCAAAGTAAGTGGAATTTGGTATTTATTTTTTACATAGACATGTTCAGGGAAGGAAATTTATAATTTTACGAAGAAAAAAAGATTTTTTGGGAACACTTTATTTCATGCGCACAGGGGGAATTTCACAATAAACTCAGCGCAACACGGTGGTTAACCCTTAAACTGCGCATGGCGTATATATACGCCCTGAGTAACATGTCCCATGGTGCACATGGCGTATATATACGCCATAGGGTGCCAGGCCTGATTCAAATGGCCCGCGGCTACACGGGGCTCACAGTAGCTTCCTCAGGGCTCTTGTAAACAGATGCCATTTTAAAAAAAAATCGTGGGCAATATTCTCAGGTGTGAGAGGCACAGTACTGTTGGAGCAACCAAGGCCGGCGCACGCAGCATGAGCGAACAGCATTGATGTTCAGCTTGTGACCACAGCATCGCCGAAAAATGTCAAAATAAATATATAATTGTTATTATTTAGCGATGACAATATTACAGATGACCAATGACTGTGATATAAATAACCAGGGTTGTGATAATAGCAGGATTGTTGTAATAATTAGCGCTGTGGGAGGAGTGATGCTGAGAGACGGAGGGAGACAGCATCGTTTACTGACTGTGTGGCCACCTGTTATTGTTTGCATTCACCATACCAGGTCAGTGGTTCTCTATGGTGAACACAAATGTAGATACTTATATATAATGTGTGTATTAGTGTAATAACAGCAAAAGGATTGTGCTGGGAGGAGCCATATGGGTGACGGAGGTGACGTCGTCTGCACGATTTGTCTAGCTGTTTAGAGGGTGGCCACTATGCTCTTTGGGTGCACTACAAGCTTAGGTGTACAGTTACGGTGCATAAAACATGTAGATATTTATATATAATATGTGTATATAGGGTAATAACACTGCAAAAGGTATTGTTGGGGGAGAAAGTTTAGTGCGTGTGACCTTGAAAGAGTGAGGGAGCCGCCATCTGTGTATAGCGACGACTCTTAGTGCCTGAACTAACTATATCAGCTTAGCTGTACAGTTGTGGTGAACAAAATATATACATACTTATATATAACGTCTGTATATAGTGTAATAACACCACAAATGGTATTGTTGGGGAAGAAAGTTTAGTGCGTGTGTTGAGGGAGTGGCAGCGAGTGGCTGGCTGGTGTGTGGCGGTAACTCCTCGTTGCTTTTCGACTCTCAATACCAACTTAGTGGTTCGTTATGGTGACCAAAACATGCCAATACTTATATATAACCTGTGTATAGAGTGTAATAGCAGCAAAACTATTTGTTTATAGTTTTATAAACATAATAATTGAATCACTAATATGCACATCATACTTTTGAGTATAGCGATTATTAACCACTTTTATTATATAAATATATTACAATGCACACTATTGAATAATATTACTGCAAAAAAACTAAGAAAAAATCAATCGTAGACATTGAAACAATTAGGTAATAATATCTTTGTGGCAACTCCCATCTGTCAACGCGGGTGACGCTGACCGGGTCTGACGACCGCTCTGTCAACGCCCACTTTTTGCCAGACTTCCTCGGTCAATTGCGCCCAAAATATGTCACCTACGATTTTTTTTTTATTTTTTCCGTGCTCAGGGGACACAAATTAACATGTTTAGAAGACAAAAAAAATTTTTTGAATTTTTTTTTTTCTTGCACACAGGGGTGTAAATGTCCCAAGGACCCCTGAGCAGTGTAAGGGTTAAACAAGGGAAACACTTAACTAATGAGGGGGTTACTTAAATTGAAGGGTAACTTAATATACAAGGGACACTTATGTTTACTTAACCCTTAAATTGCGCATCGCATCATATGATGCTTTGGAGTACTACGCAAGATTTAAACGGCCCACGGATACACGGGGTTCACCACACCTTCATCAGGGCTCTTGTAAACAGACGCCATTTTTTAAAAATCGTTGGCCAAATTCCCGGGTGTTAGGGGGCCTCAGTATTGAGTGAGCTACCAAGCCTGACGCACGCAGCATGAGCTCATATCACTGCTGTTTAGCTTGTGACCACAGTATCACCTAAAAATGCCATAATATACTTGTTCATGCTATTATGTAGCGATGACATTATTACAGAAGACCCCTGACTGTGATAAAACTGACCAGAGTTCTGATAAGAGCAGGATTATGGTGATATTTAGCGCTGTGCTCCATGGAGGGAGGAGTAATGCTGTGAGAGGGAGGGTGGTGGCATTGTCTTCTGTGTGTGTGGCTACCAATATTGACTGCACTCACCATACCAGCTTAGTGGTTCGCTATGGTGAACACAAATGTAGATACTTACATATAACGTGTGTATAGAGGGTATAACAGCAATAGGAGTAGGTTGGGAGCCGACATTTTGGTGAGGGAGGTGGCGTCGTCTGCACGACTTATCATGTAGATTACTGGTGACCACTATGGTCTTTGGGCACCATACCAGTTTACTTGTACAAGTATGGTGAATAAAACAGGTAGAATCTTATATATAATGTGTGAATATAGCATAATAACACCACAAACAGTATTGTTGGAGGAGAAATATTAGTGTACCTGGCCTTAAGGGCGGTCGCCACCAGCTGACTGTGTGAGTAGCTACGTCTTTGTGCCTTTACTCATCATACAAGCTTAGATGTACAGTTATGGTGAACAAAACATGTAAATACTTATATATAACGTCTGTATATAAAAGCAAAAACAGTATGGTGGGAGGAGAATGGTGGCAAGTCAGGTGAGGTGAGAGAGGGAGGGAGTGGCAGCCAGTGGTGGGCTGCCACTGGCTGCAATTGCCACTGCCACTCAGCATACCAACTTTGTGGTTCGTTATGGTGAACACGAATGTAGATACTTATATATAGCGTCTGTATATAGTGAATAAAAGCAAAAACAGTATTATGGGAGGAGAATGTGAGCGAGTCAGGTGACTTGAAGGAGGGAGGAAGTAGCAGACAGTGGCGGGCTGTCACTGCCACTCAGCATGCCAACTTAGTGGTTCGTTATGGTGAACACGAATGTAGATACTTATATATAACATCTGTATATAGTGAATAAAAGCAAAAACAGTACGGTGGGAGGAGAATGTGGGCGAGTGAGGTGTTGAGGGAGGGAGTGAGTGGCTGGCTGGTGTGTAGCGGTCATTCCTCGTTACTTTTTGACTCATAATAGTAACTTAGTAATTCGTTATGGTGAATAAAACATGCAGATACTTATATATAACCTGTGTATATAGTGTAATAACCGACAAAGTATTTGTTCACTGTTTGATGAACATAATTGAATCAACAATATGCACACCATATTTTTGAGTACAGCGATGATTCACACTCATTTTATTATATAAATATATCACACTACACACTATTGAATAATATTACAGCAAAAAAACTACGAAAAATCAATCAGAGACATTGAAATAATTAGGTAATTATCTCTTTGTGGCAACTCCGGCCTGACAGCTCGCGAGCAACAGACCACCTGGGACACACGCTGAGTCAGCGCCTGTTTTTTGCCAAACTTCCCCGCCCTATAGCGGGCATTATATGCCACTTACGATTTTTTTATT